TGGCACCCAGTGGCACATGAAATAAATAAAGTGCACTTGGCTGCGTGTTTGAGCAGACGGCCAGAGAACCGTCGCCTGAAGGCGAGGCTGCTCGTTATTTGTCACGGTTTAACCGAGGTAAACAAAGCAACCTCTTAATCAACGAGAGATGAGCCGAGTTATTGTTCTGCTCTCAGAAGAAAGGCCTGCGCTTACACGTTAATGACCGCTGATCTATCACCATGAAGTGACCAGATGAAGATAAAACTGCTGCCGCTGTCTCTCTCAGGCTGCTGGGGTTGATGATGAAAGACAGGCCTGTAGCAAAGGCTTCTTAACACATTACTGAGTACATCAGCCAGAAAACCAAGTCACTGATAGCATGAGCTATTACACACAATGGCACCCTTCATAAGAATCAGCCTCAACAATGATCTCTGTTGTTTTTCACCTCATATTTGGCTGATCTGATGTTATAAATTTTGTTTTTGTTAAAAGTAAGTGGTGATTTGTGTTCTTTGGATGAGCTGGCCTGGGGTGCAGTCGGTGTTCGAGTTCGTCCCAGAAGGTATTCAGTGGGATTGAGTTAAGGGCTCTCGAGTTCTTCCATACAACTTTTACTACACCATGTCTTCATGGAGCTCGCTTTCTGCACTGTCATACTTTGTTATGCTGGAAAAGGTCTGGGCCTCTTAGTTCCAGGGAGATTGTAATTCTTGTGCTTCCAACGTTGTGGCAAGAGTTTCAAGAAGATCGGCATATGGGCGTGATGGTCAGGTGTCCACAAACTTTAGGCTATATAGTGTATCTTAGCCAATCTACATATGGGGAGGTTTTTGGGAGAACATGAAGAAACACATAGACCGTAACCGAGGAACCAGGAATCCTGGAGCTGATGCAGGAACATGACCTACCGTGCCACCAGACATCAGATCATTAACTGGTAGAACCTCTTTTAGCAGCAATAACCACATTTCTTCCTGGAGCTGCATTGCAGATTTGATGAGATATGACTCACTACAACACTGTCTTGGTTCATCTATATTTCTGGGATTTCTTGCATGAACAGCACTCCTTTTACGTCATGCCATAGCACCTTAATTGTGACCTGGTCTGGATTATGACTTGGTCATTATAAACCATTCAACTTTTTCTTCATTTTAAACCATTCTGTTGTTGGGTTACTTGCAAGTTTTGGTTCATTGTTAACGCCTATCAAGCTTCTGGTGATAGATTGTTGCATTTACGTCCTCTTGTAAAAGTTCTTCGAACTGATCAGACTCTGAAGCACCAAAGCAGCCCCAAACCATGATGCTCCCACCACCATGCTTCACAGTTTGATAGTGGAAACATAATTACACCACTGGTTGCAAAAAAACAAACATTGTTATACATCTGAAGTTTGCAAAAGGGTTGTGGATGTCCTGGATGTCCTGAAATTCTTCTAGAACAATATTTCCTGGACAGATGAGACAAAATTTAAATACTTTTTTGTCAAGAAAATGACAAATCTCTGTTTTAAAGAAAACCTAATAGCTCAGAAACAATAAATAATGTGAATGGGGGATTATTAGATCCACCCTGATTGTACCCCTTATCACTGTATTCATCAGTGTTTAATTTGTCATTCTTACATCTATCCTTGGATTCTTTCACCTATGAAAATATCCAAATTGGGCCCAAAGTGTCAATATTTTGTGTGGCAACCATTATTTTCCAGCACCGCCTTAACCCTCTTGGGCATGGAGTTCACCAGAACTTCACAGCTTGCCACTGGAGTCCTCTTCCACTCCTCCATGACGACATCACAGACCTGGTGGATGTTAGAGACCTTGTGCTCCCCCTTCTGTTTGAGGATGCCCCACTGATGCTCAATAGGGTTTAGGTCCAGAGACATGCTTGGTCAGTCCATCACCTTCACCCTCAGTTTCTTTAGTGTGTTTGGGGTCGTTATCATGCTGGAATACTACCCTGCGGCCCAGTCTCCGAAGGGAGGGCATCATGCTCTGCTTCAGTATGTCACAGTACATGTTGGCATTCATGTTTCCGTCAATGAACTGTAGCTGCCCAGTGCCGGCAGCACTCATGCAGCCCCAGACCATGACACTCCCACCACCATGCTTGACTGTAGGCAAGACACACTTGTCTTTGTATTCCTCACCTGGTTGCCACCACACACTTGACACCATCTGAACCAAATAAGTTTATCTTGGTCTCATCAGACCACAGGACATGGTTCCATTAATCCATGTCCTTAGTCTGTTTGTCTTCAGCAAACTGTTTGCGAGCTTTCTTGTGCATCATCATTAGAGGCTTCCTTCTGGGACGACAGCCATGCAGACCAATTTGACGCAGTGTGCAGCGTATGGTCTGAGCACTGACAAGCTGACCCCCCACCCCTTCAACCTCTGGCAGCACTCATAGGTCTATTTCCCAAAGGCAACCTCTGGATATGACACTGATCCTCAGATCCTCAGAGAGTTCTTTGCCATGAGGTTCCATGTTGAACTTACAGAAACCAGTATGAGGGAGTGTGAGAGCGATAACACCAAATTTAACACACCTGCTCCCCATTCACACCTGAGACCTTGTAACACTAACAAGTCACATGACACCGGGGAGGGAAAATGGATAATTGGTCCCAATTTGGACATTTTCTCTTAGGGGTGTAGTCACTTTTGTTGCCAGCAGTTTAGACATTAACGGCTGTGTGTTGAGTTATTTTGAGGGGACAGTAAATTTACACTGTTACACAAGCTGTACACTCACTACTTTACATTGTAGCAAAGTGTCATTTCTTCAGTGTCGTCACATGAAAAGATATCATCAAATATTTACACACATGTGAGAGGTGTACTCACTTTGGTGAGATACACTAAGTGTACATATAACATGCCAATTCGTCCCTGCTAAAGTTTGCTCCTGATATACCATTTCTGTTCTCCTGTCTTTCTCGCTTTCCTAATCCTCTCTACTTGTTCAAAATCATGCTTTACTGTTATTCTTTCTTCCTCATGGACAGAATGATTTTCTTTCTTACCAAATCTCGCTCGAGAGGCCTCTGTAAGGGTCTATTCATAAATATTAAAGAACGCTTCTGGTGCACCACCTAGAGTGAAAATCAATGCTGCACTAATGAACCTGAATAAAAGATTTGTTTCCTAAAAAACGTTTCCAACCAGCACACCAATGGGAGTCATCTCACTGATGGAAGCTTCCAGCGGTCTTGTAAGCACTGAGACCGCAGAAATTTTAGAGGTCATATTTCCAAAATTCAATATCATAAATGCTGTCAATTAGAGAGAGAGAGAGAGAGAGAGAGAGAGAGAGTGAGCTATTGTTTATAACATAAATGATAGCAGGGGATATCTTGTTTTTCTGTCAGTAACACGACGAATTGTTCTTCTCTAAGAAATGATGTCTACTCTATGGTAAATTGCCAGATAGAGCGCATGTGATCCAGCTGCTGTACCAACCGGTGGTACTCGCCCTGCTGCCCGTAAGTCCATATTGTTTCGTGGAACAAACTGCCGCAAGATGGCCGCAACGTCAAAGCACACACGCTTCTTCTCCTTCATCTCGTAATATATGATGAATATACTGTATACACTGGTGAATTTTATACATAAACCCTCCAGGATGTTTAATTGTTTCATTTTAGCAGCAAGAAAACAGGTTTGTTGTCAGGAATGCTAGTTGAACACCCATTGTTAAATATTACTATGGCAACTAGAAGTAGGAACACCTACTGGTGACTTCATAGTACAGCGACTGTTGAGCATACCTTCACTGTAAAGTTTAGCTCCTAGCCTGGTTCTAGCTACGATTATAATGATTATATTTCTTGCTAGCTTTTTATATTTTGCCCTGTTCGTATTGATCACTTTGATTCCCATTGGTTTGTTGACTAGCTAACACTTTTATGTTGTTGTTTTGTTTGACCACCATATTGGATTTGCCCTTCTTGGTTTGTTTGCTGCATGTTAATCCTTTTCGTTCAAATCACCGATCCTCCGCATATTCATTTATTCCTCCTGTTTGAAATAACCTCAGATGCTGAGACAGTACTTCACAGTGTCCTGGTTGTGACAGCCCTTCAAATCCACTCGTACTGTCTTCGTGCTGTGTGTGTGGTCTGTGCTCGACACGAGCTCCACGCATGCCATCTGTTTTAGTGCAATCTCATCAAAAAAGCTCCACTTTACCCCTTCAGTTCTCTAATTAATATTCAGTTCTTCGTCTTAAAGCAGATACTCTGAACGGTTCAGTCTGAGATGGGGATAATAGTTCAATATAGCTCCTTTGTCAACCCCACGATCACAGTTCCAGAGAAATCGTAGGCAGAGGAAAACTCATCTATGTAACGAGCACATAGGATTTACATAGGATCTTTATATCATTTATTTTTTTCCCGAAACCTACAAAACGAATGTCGGTTAACTTGTTGGTTTGATCATAGTGAAAGTGTGAGCAGCTGAGACAATTGCTTTCTTTAAGACTGAGTGAAGCCTGGATTCGACTCAATTTTCATTACAAACGCAGCAGTGTCTATATTATTCATTACTCTTGGTGCAATTCGATATTTTAAGCAAATCAAATTTATACGGTTTATCATTAACCGTACTATATACACAATCGTGAAGCTCAAAAAGCAACTTTTGTAAAATACAAGACTCACATCTCACTGAGCACTCGCACCTGTTCTGTATTAACCCTAATCAGCACCCCTATTTAAGTTCTGGTCTCTTGACAGTATGTGTCATTGTCAAGCTTTTGTCGTCATTGTGTGGACCTCAGCTCATCTAACAATCTGCCTGGTTTGCCTTGTGTCTCGGATTTCTGTTCATAATGATAACGAGTCTTTATTGATCACGCATTCATTACAGCAGAGTGAAATTCTTTTCTTCACATACCCCAGCATGTCAGGAAGTTGGGATCAGAGCTCAGGGAAAGCTGTGATGCAGCGCCCCCTGGAGCAGAGAGGGTTAAGGGCCTTTCTCAAGAGTCCAACAGTGGCAGCTTGACAGTGCTGGGGTTTGAACCCACAACCTTCTGATCAGTAACCCACAGCCTTAACCGCTAAGCGACCCCTGCACCTGGCTCTGATTTTCACACTTTTGGTTGTTTTTGTTTTGCACTTTATAAAGTACACCGCTAAAAAAAATAAAGGGAACACTAAAATAACACATCCTAGATCTGAATGAATGAAATAATAAGATTAAATACTCCTTCTTTACATACTTGAATGTGCTGACAACAAAATCACACAAAAATTATCAATGGAAATCAAATTTATCAACCAATGGAGGTCTGGATTTGGAGTCCTGATGAGGTGGCGGATGGTCTCCTGAGGGATCTCCTCCCAGACCTGGACTAAAGCATCCGCCAACTCCTGGAAAGTCTGTGGTGCAACGTGGCGTTGATGGATGGAGCGAGACATGATGTCCTAGATGTGCTCAATTGGATTCAGATCTGGGAAACAGGCGGGCCAGTCCATAGCATCAATGCCTTACTCTTGCAGGAACTGCTGACACACTCCTGCCACATGAGGTCTAGCATTGTCTTGCATTAGTTGGAACCCAGGGCCAACCGCACCAGTATATGGTCTCACAAGGGGTCTGAGGATCTCATCTCAGTACCTAATGGCAGTCAGGCTACCTCTGGCGAGCAAATGGGGGGCTGTGCGGCCCCCCAAAGAAATGTCACCCCACACCATTGCTGACCCACCGCCAAACCGGTCATGCTGGAGGATGTTGCAGGGAGCAGAATGTTCTCCATGGCGTCTCTAGACTCTGTCATGTCTGTCACATGTGCTCAGTGTGAACCTGCTTTCATCTGTGAAGAGCATAGGGCGCCAGTGGCGAATTTGCCAATCTTGGTGTTCTCTGGCAAATGCCAAACGTCCTGCACGGTGTTGGGCTGTAAGCACAACCCCCACCTGTGGACATCGGGTCCTCATACCATCCTCATGGAGTCTGTTTCTGACCATTTGAGCAGACACATGCACATTTGTGGCCTGTTGGAGGTCATTTTGCAGGGCTCTGGCAGTGCTCGCGTCCTGCTGCTAGGTTGTTGCCCTCCTAGGGCCTCCTCCACGTCTCCTGATGTACTGGCTTGTCTCCTGGTAGTGTCTCCATGCTTTGGACACTACGCTGACAGACACAGCAAACCTTCTTGCCACAGCTCGCATTGATGTGCCATCCTGGATAAGCTGCACTACCTGAGCCACTTGTGTGGGTTGTAGACTCCGTCTCATGCTACCACTAGAGTGAGCACCACCAGCATTCAAAAGTGACCAAAACATCAGCCAGGAAGCAGAGGAACTGAGAAGTGGTCTGTGGTCACCACCTGCAGAACCACTCCTATATTGGTGGTGTCTTGCTAATTGCCTATAATTTCCACCTGTTGTCTATTCCATTTGCACAACAGCATGTGAAATTGATTGTCAATCAGTGTCGCTTCCTAAGTGGACAGTTTGATTTCACAGGAGTGTGATTGACTTGGAGTTACATTGTGTTGTTTAAGTGTTCCCTTTATTTTTCCGAGCAGTGTATAATCAGCACGTGCGTCTGCTGCCTCTACAGAATCATGACATCTTGATTGATTCATTTTCTTATCCCATGCAAAACACTAAACAATAAACACATTTGTCATGTTTTGACCAATTTGCCGTGACAGCCAGTGCGGCTGCGGCCGATTTTTGAAGTGTGCTGGATAGCGACTCGTGTCATTACCATCACCCCTGAATATTAGGACTCATCTTTTGCCAGTCCACTTCTGCTTCACAGACGATACAGTATAAAACCCATGCAAACTATCACACAATGCCAAATATTGGCAATATTTAGGTTCGTGTAAGTTTCGTGATTGATATTCCTTCATATTTTGGCTACTCTTTGGTCTGGAAATGCTTTGTATTGTTGTTTTGCGTGTCGTGACTTGGATTTTGGATCGCAGAGTTTAGATTTGTCCTTAAACCTCCTCTACATGGATTCTCCTAACTCTCTTAAGTTCTGATCATTGCAAATTAATACATTTTCATGCATACAGGTATGCTCCACACCTTGGGGTTTGTGTTCTTTCTTACTTTTGCAGTATGTGTTCTGCTTCCAGATGCCCCGAGTTGTGCTAAGGTGTCACCTCGCACCTTCTGCATACCCACGACGGCGTTTAAAAGATCGCTGGAGTGAACCCTCTACCAGCTTCGTGCTCAGCTCATGTCTATGTATTGTTCTTCGTCTTTATCACGTCCCTATTTGATTTAGTTGTCACACAAGAAGTCACCGGGTTTAGGTGATAATCTTAGTCTAATAATGAATGATAAACACTGCTGTGTTTATTCTCTTTCAGTTAAGCAGACAGATAGTAACCCTGCATCTTTTATTTTATTTTTTTTTTGGAAAAAAGAGTTTCCTTTTAATTACAGAGGTTAAGGTTAGAGTTAGATTTAGTTGTAGTCGTCGTGTTCATTACCTCCTTTTAATAATCGTGTCAGCCGAAGGCCCTAACTAGGATAGCAAGCTAAAAGTGTATGTGTTGGGGGTGTGGGGGGGTTGGTTTATATGCTGAACATACTGTGTACAGAATATTACAAGTACCCTTAGGTACAAATACAATATGAGAACAATGTAGTAGATGACATTTGAGATTTACACTCTGCTGCCTTTGCTGTTCATTTTCTGTCTTGCAGATAGCAGTGTGCATAAACGTCCAAATATTTGTGCATCAGTAGTGCTTCATTTATATATATTTATATATATTCTAGGTCTGAGTGATGAGCAAATACAATTTGTAATGTTATTTGCATTACGTTGGCAAATACCAGCTGTAATGAGGTTCCTGTCAATCTTGTGCACAGATTGTGTTCCTGTGACTCGGGGTCTCTTAAACACACTGATAAATATTCGAAACAGCTCCTCGCTTCTTGCCTCATGAATAAAACGGCAGGGTTTATGTCGGGATGAGAAAATGCCCTTTTGCCACAATGCCGTTTCCCCCCTTTTTGCTGTTATTTGGTTATTTATTTATTTATTTTAAACTGGCATTAAACTGGAAGTGAAAAAAAAAATATTCCATGAATTCTGTTCGTCGCGATAAGCGCTCGGGTTTTGTTTCTAATTGTCTCGGTGGTACGCTGTTTGTCCTCTGAACCTCTTCTGGTGTTGGGAAACCACCGAATGGAAATGGACTCACTAGGAAAGGGCTAATCAGCGCTTCGATAGAAATCTGAAATACAAAACAGGCCTTTATGCTCTCACACACTGCAGAATCCATTTGTGGTGCACGCACACGACAGCCCTGAGGATCATAGGACTATGGGAAAGAACCTACATTGTGTTTTACCTGAGACCTATCAATTATTTCTAACATAGGCCTCAGCGAGACAAAATACCTTTGCGTATTCCGGGGATTATTAGAACGATGCAAAAACGAGTCGGAGTTATTACTGAAATACATAAAAAGCAGACTAATCCGAATCGAATGTCAAAAACATGGCCACAAGACGGGGCAAGGTCAGAAATACCAATTATCAGAATGAGCAACAAAAGCAAAGGGCTAAACGAGGTGAACCAGGGCCTAAAATACATGTCTTTGGACTCGGGGAGGAAACCCCCGAAACACAGGGTGGAGGCGGGAATCAAACCGTGGCAAACGTGCTAACCCCGTGCTAAGCCATTTATCGTTATATTTATTGTCATGGAATGTCTGCATACCTTACGTTGTAGCCACTATAAACAACGCTTCCCCCGTCCAGCGTCCCCGTTTTTCTCATTTAGAGTTAATAAGGCCAAATAAATCGTACACGGATAGATGTTGAATCTCAGTCGTAATTGCTTCAGGCATCAAAAACCTACACCAGCATCTTTTCAGAAATGATTCATCCATATGAACTTGAGATAGGGCTGAGGATACGCACAGCCAAGCAGCAATTAATATAGACAATCACATTTGCTAAGAAGTATTGCTGACACAAAGAGTCAATATAAGTGCCAGAGAGGAGGTGTTTCAAGAGCTAACTCCAATCAACTGCTGCTTAAGAAAAGATATTTAACCAGTGGGTAGAATCGAAAGTCTCGGGGGCCTGATTCGTGAACTACGTGTGAGAGGGATAAACATGTGCAAACATGCAAAATGTGCAAGCTGGTTGAAGTAGAATCGCTTCTTTCACATGAGCAAAGTAACACAAGAGCGTGCGCATGTTTTTTTTTAAATTAGCTAATGGAAGTCCATTCCCATCAGCGGAAGACAAAATTCCATCATTTACTATGTTTTATAAAGATTATTCCTCAAGATAAAACGTTTCTCTAATTTATGGCTAAATATTACTGTGGCGAAGTTTTATATTTGGTATTCACCTCATGATCTTTCAATGTGATGTAATTCACACAATAATTCATTGTGAACCCCTTGCAACACGCCGACCTTTTGCAGAACACGTCTTCATCTCGTCGCACAGGCAAATTAGCGTGGGTTATTTTGGATCTTAGTAAATCATGGCCTCAGAATAACAAATCAGGGACAACCTGTAATCTTTTAGACATCCAGCCTCACGTGTGTGAAACAAGACCAAGGACTACCTCTGAAGTTTTGCTTTGAACATCCGGATTAAACAAGGTATTTCAATCCATCTTCGTCCGCTTTATCCTTTTCGGGGTCAAGGGGGAACCTGGAGTCTATCCCAGGGGGCATCGGGCACAAGGCGGGGTACACTCTGGACAGGGTGCCAGTCGATCACAGAGCACAATCACATACACTACGGACATTTTAGACACGCCAATCAGCCTACCATGCATGTCTTTGGACTGGGGGAGGAGACCGGAGTACCAGGAGGAAACCCCCGCAGCACGAGGAGAACACGCAAACTCCACACACACAGGACCACGGTGGGAATCGAACCCCCGACCCTGGAGGGGTCAGGCGAACGTGCTATGTTTAATGTTAGAGGTTCTCTTCCAGTCCTGCGGTTCGTGCAACAGGCCTCTGGGATTTAATCTCATAAACGTAAATACTCCATCTGTCAATCTTAACCGATTTTTCCACGTCTTGAATGGCCTAAATTGCGAAAATGAATTATTGTTGTTCTTCAGTTCAGT